CGCATTGCTTGTTTGGCTGTCATGAATTCGTACCTTCATCCCTTCCTCCCCTGGATTGCCAGAGATACCTTTCCTCCCAGGTCTGCCCTGAACAGAAAGCAGAAATGACCCATCGTACTGGACTCACAGCCCTCTAAATCTACACATCGATCTCATTAGCTCCTGTTTCTGAGACCAATCTCCTCCATTCACCAACAAATCAGCTCCAGAGACAGCAGCTTCATTAAATAACCCTCAATCCCAATGGACCCCCCCAAACAAATATATAGTGTTTATATTGGAGCCCAGATGGATTTTCTCTAGTCATCTATTAGCTAATGTCTGACCCTTATTAGCTGAATTATCCATACTGCCCTCACTTGGACAGACCGAATAATTGACTGTGAGTTTTTTTGGCAAGGTTTACTGTGTGAGAAACCAGGTTAAATGCAATGAGCTGTTAATATGAATTCGTCCCTAGCTGTCAGGTACATGCAGCTGTTCATCCGGCAGGCTCTGGCATGAAACAGCCTATTTTTTCCACTACAGTTTACACTATCGCTGCTGAATCTGGGTCAAGTGCGGACACAGCGTTCCCAATTGTTTTGGGAAAGACAAGCACTGTTATATTTGGAGGGAAAAGCGCACAAGATAAAAGTCTTTGCTGAGTGACATAAACCAACAGGAGTGTGTGAAGCCTATTACTCCATTATGCTAAGTGTTCGACTGTAAAACAAGGAAATATAGTTAAAGTACCAGAAAAAGAGGCTGTCAAAATTGGATGATAATGATTTTCACGCTTAGGTAATCACAGAATGAACAATGAAGTGCTATTTTAGCCATAGATTGGTCATAAATCCTGGATTCACCATAAGCAACCATGCTAGATGTTTTCAAATCTGGAAATGTATAGTTATTGTATTAAAATATGAACTACAAACAGTGGTTAGTGTGATTTCATTAAGCAGAACATCTATGTTGATCCTGAAACAACATGCCAGTTAGAATTAAGGGATAAGTTTACAGTTTATGATAAGTTTAAGCTTAGGGTTATGTGCTTATACATGCTTGCTATCCAACTATTATTCCCCTCTGATTTTGGGAATAATTTAGCTATGGTTGAGTTTAGAGGTAGGGATTAGGTATGGATTACAAACAAAAATGACATTCCAGGATCAACATAGATGTACATCCAGGATCGTATCGCATGTGGCAAAATCACATCCAACAGAATCAGTAGATTTGAAAGAAAATATCTGATCAATAAGGCATAAAATAAAAGCAATGACATATGGACATTCAAAGCACGCCCATATTTTTATAGCAGGACCTGTAGTTACAGTCTACCAGTTGTGTAATGGTCAAGAAGAGCTTGACCTTGTTTGTTATGTAATGAATGTAATCTGTCAGCTGTGTATTTGAAACTCTTTTGTTTTCATTCTGGCTTGTTGCGTAAGCGAATGACACATCTCTGTAAACCAATAGTGTTCAGCTACCTGACTAGCTCCGCCTTTTGGTACCCTTTCTCATGTTTGGTACCCTTTTGAAATTGTGCTGAAAAAAGTGGTAGCGTACGGTTTGGTTCGGTACGCCTTTTGACAGTGGAAACGGCCATATATGCATACCAAACCGAACCTTACCGTACCACTCAGTGATAACGGTCCAAAAGAGTTGAGAATCAAAATGTGTGTGTAATTATAAATAGGACCCATGTGGCTCTTAAAGTGACAAAGTGCTGTAAAACTGCAGCCTAAATGTTCATATCAATAATAATAAAAAAAACAAAAAGAAAAACTCACTCACTCACTGCTCTGACTGAAGTCTTTTAAAGCTTTAATAAGAAACAAACCAAGTTTAATTCTTAGTGAACACTACGCTGTTTCATTTGCATATTTATATCCTCTTGAACCCCCCTCCCCCACCCCATGTTTTTTAGGACTGAAATCAAAAACATTTTGATCATATTTTATAATTGTTTGAAATAATCAGGATTTTGACCAAAATAATCATGATCATGGTCATCTTTGCCATAACCTAGCAGCACTAGTGTAAACAGCACCGATAGCACTAATGGGCTAATTGCGCTAGTGGATTCTTGCTTTAAAACTTGGCATCCACACTACTCTGGCAACTTCAATCCATGAAAACAGTGCGTTCTAAAAACCATTTTTAGTTTAAAAATGCTGGTACTCCATTTCAATATAGACGGCCTGAAACACAAACTTTTGAAAACTGAGGTGGGGCCATCCACAATCAATCTCTGACTGGTCAACAGTTGTCTCATATGACCATTACAGAAGCGCTAAGGCAAGGCAAGTCAAGGCAAGTTTATTTATATAGCACATTTCATACACAGTGGCAATTCAAAGTGCTTAACATAAACAGGTATAAAAGAGACAAGCCTAAAAAATAACAAATAATATAAAAACAGATAAAAACAGCATAAAGAGAGTTTTTTTCATTTTCCGAATGACCAGTGTATCATATTTTTTCATTTTACTCTGTGACTTTCCCATTCTGGTGATCACCCCTCCTGTGGACTTTTTCGCTACCTATTAATCCCTATTAATCCTATTAATACCCATTGGACGTCTCCAACATATTACATTTTTAACCTAGGATCGAAAAGTTAAGCTTTACAGCTTTAATTACATGCCCCCCAGTTTCAACTTCCTTCTGGAAGTAAATCGCACTGCCCCTGATTTCTACCCCCTCCTTGGAGTAAATCCCTTTAGCTGGCCAAACGTAATAAAAGATCTTGATCTCAGCCACACGCCAGAATGGTGATGGCCCAAGTTAAATCTTTTAACTGCCCAATCAGATTTTTTTTAAATCAGTTTTTCCATTGCTAAACTGCAAGTACAGATGCAGGCAAAATATGCGCATGAATGGTCACGTATCGCACATTTTAAGCTGTATAGTGGATATGGGGATTGTTTTTCTGAAATGCAGTAAATATTGCAATTTGGGCGATGGCCATTTTAATTCTAAAATGCAGTTTAAAAACGGAGACATTATAGTAAATGTAGCCTAATGTTGCAGAAATGTAGTCTAAATCTAAATCTTGATATCTAGTAGTTTTATCAAAATCACTCACCTCTAGTCCTGGAGCCCCTGCTGGTCCCACTGGTCCCTGATCTCCCTGTGGTTTCAAACAGGGCCATTATTATTTATTATACTGCATACCTGCAAAATTACACTTATGAAGACTTTAATATCGCGTTAACTTGCCTTTTTAGGCTTTTTCAACTGTATGAAGCTTCCAATGCATGTTTATTATTCATATGTTGTATAATTCCTTTATGTTTTTGCTGCTTGTTCAAACTAAATATTTAAAATGAGCTGAATTAACACAATTCTTGAGTCTTTTTAAGGACAACTTAATTGTTTTATGTTCAAACCACTTGTTAAGAAGTTAACTTAATTGTATAGGGGCAACGTGAAGGTAGAGTGTGCAGCCAAGCATTTTTTACAATGTAGTTCTTGCTGATTATATGATGGCATGAGAACTGATGCAGTTTATGTTAAAACAGCTTCAAATAATGTTCATTATAAAGGATAAATAATTATGAGGTAAAATTATTACCATATTACTATTACACTATTACTACTAACTTTAAGGTCCCTTTTTTTACATATGTTCCTTGTCTTTAGTATAGTAGCTATGTGTATTTGCAAGCAATTAACCCTAAACCTCTGCATTCTAAGCTTAAACCTATAGCAAGTACATGTAATTATTGAATATTACTCAGTAGTTAAATGAAGATACAGTGCAACAAGGATTTCTGAAAATAAACTGTAACCAAAGATCATTTTCACACTTTAATTATTCTTTAGCATTTAATCTGCATGTTTTGGATTGTATTTTAAATGATCGCTTTAATTTATTTACCAACATTCTCCAGCAAGTGAATTCTACTTTGGAGAAAAGAAATATCTGGTCAAATGATGAGGATCTAAATTTTAACATGATCATCTATAATCATATTATTGAGATATGTTCGGGTAGTCAGGGGCGGCACGTTGGCTCAGTGGTTATCACTGTTCCCTCACAGAAAGGTCTACGGTTTGAGTCCCGGCTGGGTCAGTTGGCATTTCTGTATGGAGTGTATAGAATGTTCTCCCCATGTTCGTGTGGGTTTCCTCCGGGTGCTTTGGTTTTCCCCCACAGCCCAAAGACATGTGGTATAGGTGTATTGGGTAAGCTAAATTGTCCGTAGTTAAAGTATGTGTGTGAATGAGAGTGTATGGCTGTAAGGGCATCCGCTGCGTAAAACATATTCTAAAATAGTTGGCGATTTGTTCTGCTAACTAAGCTGAAGGAAAATGAATGAATGAATGTTCAGATGGTCATAGATCAACAGCAAAATCTAGCGACGTGATGTCTGGCTGTGAGAACGCAGCTTTATTCCAAACTTCTGACTGCTAGTGTACTTTTATTTGGATGTTAAAACAGGAATGATTCATATAAAATGTGCTGTACTTTCTTAGAAAATAAACATTATACACTTGGCCATAAAAGTATGGCTTTTCACGCGAAGAAAGTAACACTCTGGTCTAAACTGGTCTCTGTCACTTCATTTAATGTTGTGAAGCTGAAGTTTGGAAGTGCAGTCACAGTTCGGTGTTTTCAGTTCGGTGTTTTCAAACATTTCAGTTTGTTTATGTAAAAAAATGGTTTCATTTTAACAAAAGTATAAACAAATGGAGTCATTTAATGATACGATAGCATAATAATAAAACTTCCAGCCCTGATGGGTACCAATGTCCTGTTACACATTTGAACTTACACATACTAATCAGTGGGTTGTTACATGTGTGTAGTTACACCAGTATTACATGAGTAAATACTATGTACCAGTGTGTACATACACTGTAGTTACATACTAATTACACATCTAGTTACCATTTAAGTTCACAGGTATAAGCAACAATATAAAGTGGGACCAACTTTTATGTTTAGAAATGTGTTGAAAAAAAAAATATTTCCGTTACAAAGAAATATACAGAAGGGCTAATAATCCTGACTTCAGCTGTATACATTTATCATTTATTAATTTATATAATTGAATTGTACATTTAGATGGTCCTACCTCGAGTCCAGGGAGTCCTCCAGGGCCTGGAATGCCTCTCACTCCTGCATTCCCCTGGACAATAAAAAAAAAAAAAAAAACAGAATCAAATTTGCATAAACGCCACCAATTTAGTATATGAAACTTAATTACAGATTTATAGAAAAAGAGACACACACCTTTGGGCCCTCAACACCATTCTGTCCTGGTGGTCCAATATCCCCTGGAAAACCCTGAGAAACAGTCACAACAACAGACAATAAAAGAAAACTATCCTTTATGTAAGAAGATTAAGATGGTATTTTTTTGTATTCTATTATATTTGATCATTTATAAACTATGCTGAGAATGACATGACCACAGAAAGCTGGCTGTAAGATGGCATGACATGTTTTCAACAAAGTTCTTTTGGCTTAATTAATTTTAATATTTCGCATCAACTAAACAGGATTTTGTTAAAATAACACAAAAAAAAATCATGTAATGCTGTCTATTTTTAAATGTAAAGACTTGGAAAAATTGCATGTGTAATCATCCGTCTTTTGAATATAATGACAAAACACTACTAAACCAGGCTCATTCGTCTCATTCCAAATTCCAAATTTACACTGGATTTTGTTTCCCTACAATGCATTTATTGGCATCCAACATCGATTGTATGACTGTCTTTTAATCAATTTTTTATGTTTTTTTTAATGCCAATATTAGATGTCAGTTTGATGTTGTTTTGACATCAAGATAGTCAATTGACATCAAATCAATTAGCAATTTTGCTGTGTTGTAACGAACAAGGTACCTACTGGGTTGTATTGTATATAGTTGTGCAGTGAAATCAAAAAACCATTAGTCCTTTAACACACAAAGCTGTGACCTGTGATTGTGGTCAAATAAAGTGACAGCACAAATACCTCAGGACCAAGTGGGCCGGGCAAACCGTCTGGACCTCGATCTCCAATCTTCCCCTGAAAGTCAAAACAACTTGCTATTATTTATTCCTTTGTTAAATCAGCACAAACATTTGTTTTATGACCTGAATAAATCAATATATTGTTGTTAAAGGTCCTGTGAAATTCAGATGACGTTTTTAAAATGTTTGAATCGAGTGCTGCTAATAGTGGTGCTTAGAAGATATAAAAGCTGATGTAGACATCCAAAGCTTGCAGTTTGTCACTTCCGTCTAAATGAATGAATGATTTTTGAATGACCACCTCAAACTCATTCATTCATTTTCTTTTCGGCTTAGTCCCTTTTTCAGATAAATCATCTGTTAAACTGCATCCTAATCATCACACATGCTGCCGAAGACCTATTGGAACTCGCATAAACCCAATATTCTCACAGAAATCAGTCAAGTTTGGTGAAGGAAAAATCATAGACATTCAGTATGGTTGCGTGTGAGAGATCTGCAGAGTGTATGGCAACATCAACCCAGGAGAGGGCAAATTCTTCAGCAGGATAGCGCTCCTTCTCATACTTCAGCCTCCAAATCAAAGTTCCTGAAAGCAAAGAAGTTCAAGGTGCTCCAGGATTGGCCAGCCCAGTCACCAGATATGAACATTATTGAGCAAGTCTGGGGTAAGATGATGGAAGAGGCATTGAAGATGAATCCAAAGAATCTTGATGAACTCTGGGAGTCCTGCAAGAACTCTTTCTTTGCCACTCCAGGTGACTTTAATGAGTTATTGGAGTCATTGCAGAGATGTATGGATGCAGTCCTCCAAGCTCATGAGAGTCATACACAATATTCATTCTTTTTCCACTGCAGCATGACTTTATATTCTATACTGTACATTATTTCTGTTAAGTGACAAGACTCTTCTAAGCAAAGTCAGACCTTACTGTCCTAATGAAATAATTAAAAATCAAGGCATGATCATATTTTATTTTGGTAAAATAGGCGTAATCTAGAGCCCTTTGCCTTCTGATAGCACTTCTGATACCAAATGATCAACGAGAAATCAAGTTATTTTTTGTTGTTCCTAAAACTCAGGTAGTGTATAGTGTGCCATTTGGGACACAGCTACTGAATAAAAATTGCACACGGCATAGCACGTAACAGGACCTTTAAGAAACAGTAATAAACAAAAACGTAAAAATCAACCTGTGGTCCTGGCTTTCCTTGAACTCCTGGTAAACCCGGTGAGCCCTGAATACCCTAGAAAATGCAGCTATTTATCAGCACATGATTATTTGAGAAAAAAATCAGCTGTTGGAATGCAAGCAAAAAACTTAAAATCCAATTAAAAATCTCATTAGCATTAGCTGAAATACCTTGTCACCTTGAAATCCAGGTTCCCCGGGTTCACCTGGCAATCCGAGCTCACCCTGTTGACAGGGACAAAATAAAATCACTTTTTGGCCTTTAAGTCAGGATGTCCCTGCAGTTAAATTTCAGAATTAGTCAAGTTTTCTAGATACTGTATCTATGGTCATGTTACAGTTTTACAACAGTAGACATGGAGATCTGAAAAGCTGTCCAAAACAAAGCCTGGCAGCAAAAATAATGATATATAAGCACAGGGCTGTCAGCACCTGTCCAGCTGGCAAACCACATGGACTGTGATAGAAAAGGGGAGCCAGAGACAGATTGGCCAGCCTGCACAGATATAACATTAAAAAGCACTCCTTAGTAAAAATATCACAGTTTATTTAACTTACATACTTTTCACCTTTTAATAATACTAAGGAGTCATTCAGCAATCTTTTTTTGTCATATTGGGTAAAATGATCAATATTAAGTGTATTGATCACCTTAATACAATAAATAAAATTTTTGTATGCATTTATATCTGTATTAGGTACCGTGTAAAAAGTGAAAACTTACACTAATTAATTCAGCATGTTACAACTACATTAATTAATTAGTTTCTACCCAATTTCTCACAGTTTTCCGTTGGAAAAACTTCACTCTTTTAGGTGTAATTAGTTGAAGTCATTTATTTAATTTGATTTAATGAGGTTTTTTTGCCGTGTAATTCTAATATCTGTATGCAAGTATTTAAAATCAATCATTATTTTATCAAATACTCTCATTTATCTGAAACGGCACCTATGGGGAAAAGTCTATTTTTCAAGCTGTTTGGGCAGACATATGTGTTGGTATAGTGTATAGACCATCATATTGGGGTGATATAAACACACCCAGTCCTTTTTTTCAATTTAACAACATGAAAACAGTGGACCACCTGGAGCGGTTTTCAGACTAACCGACTTGACATAGGTTTGCGGTCCCCCCACCCACTGAATTGATTGTAGCCCCGCGGACGTTTCTGCGGAACGCGAAATACGTCCCGGGAGGTACATATTCGAGCAGTTTGTGTTTTTTGCGGATCCGCGAGAGGCCGCTGTGTGCGCTTTTTCGCGTCTTGAGCCCGCGCTGTTCTCTAGTGAATAGCCGCCGGAGGCCGCTGTGGAGCGACCAGCCGTCCGACTGGCTGGCTGAACGACGTCCGACTGGCTGGCCGACCCGGCCGCCCTTCTCTTCCTCCTCCTCCTTCCCTAAACCCATCGACGGTTCGCAAAAGCCGTCCAGAAAAAAAAAGCAAAAGCCCTCGTCTTTGATTTCGACCGCGTTTTCAGATCCCGCCGCGTTCTTGCTCTTATTTTTTGGATTCTGTTTTTCATCTTACCTGATTTCTGGAACCGCTCTTGCCCGGACTCGATCCCGCTCGTCCCCGCGGCCGACTCCTCCTCGTCTGGGCATCCGCTCCGCCGACGTAACGCTGCGAGCTAAGCGGACAAACTGGTAGCAGCGGGAAAGCCCTCCACTCGAAGGCGAGCCGTTGGCTCTTCGCGAGCGCGAAGAGGAGGAGCGGAGCGGCACCACACTGCCCCGCAGCGTTCGCTCGGAAAAAACTAAACGCGGCCGTACGTACCTCCGGCCATGTAAATCGCGGTCTTCAGAAACGTCCGCGGGGCTACGTTTCCAGAATGAGCTTGGGTTGTATTAAAAACAGTTGCTTTGACATTCTTTTCAGTATTTATTGATATTTAGGAAGTTTAAATTAATAAAATGTAAAGTACTTTTAATCCATTTAATATTTTCTGAAGAAAAGTTTTTTTTTTTTTTTTTAAGAGGAATCTTACAGATCTCAACCTTTTGAGACTTTTCTTAACTGAATAATGACATTTTGTAAAATTCTGCTTTTCTCAGTCTATGCAATCAAAAACAGAAGAAGCGAGAGCTAATAAAGCATATTCAGATCACCTTATCACCTTTCAGTCCGGGCTCTCCTGGGTTTCCTGGGACACCCTGCAAGACACCAAACGGACATCAAATCATCAATTAATTTAATGGCTTTGTCTATAATATTCACTACAATGAAAATAATCCATATTTATACAGCCATTACACGTGTTGAACAAGTATTTTTGAAGAAAATGTGTAGAGCAAAATATGATTAGGGATTTCATTATCAATGGAAGAAATCACCTTTGGTCCTATTAGTCCAGGAGGACCGACCATTCCAACAGGGCCCATATCACCCTGCCATCAAACATAAAAAGGATTAACATGATAAAACTGTACACTGCATACAATATATGTACAATATAGATGAAATTCGGGTTGTCAACAAACATCCAATAGACGTCCAAGAATAGCCCAAAAATAGACTAATTATCAATAGATGGGAATGAATGACGACTACAAATGTGAACTAGTGACTAGTCTATTTTTGGACTATTGTCAGATGTCGATTAGACTTTCACTAAGAGCCCCAAAATTAGCAACAACCTCTATATTTGGATGTCTAACAGATGTCTATAAAACACAAAATAATGTGTAAAAATGAAAAAATAAAAATCTGAAAAATTTGATCATACTTTTATCAGAAAAATGCATACTATGTCTAATAGACATCTAATAGATATCTGAATATTGACATCTTGGCTAAAACAAGGCTAAAAATGAGCTGTCAGCAAAAATCCAACAGACTTTCACTGACTGCCCAGATTTAGCAACAACGTCTATATTTGGATGTCTAATAGATGTCTATTAAACGCAATATATATATATATATATATATATATATATATATATATATATATATATATATATATATATATATATATATATTGCTGGCAAATGACCTGCACAGTAATTTTTTAATCAATACTTAAGCAAATATCTGAAACATTGTCAAACATTTTTAATGGAAAGTGCCTACTAAGTCTAATAGATATCTAATAGACATCTAAACATGGACATCTTGGCTAAAACAGGGCTAAAAATGGACTGTCAGTGAAAATCCAATAGACGTCTAAGAATAGCCAATAAATAGACCAATAGGCAGGAATGAATGGCTACACGTAAAGTTTGTCTATTCTATATTTGAAGACTAGTCTATTTTAGGACTACTGTTAGACGTCAATTGGATTTTCTCTGACAAACCGAATATAGCAACAGCATCTTTATTTGAATGTCTAATAGATGCATTTAAAAAAAAATGCATGCTGGCAAATTACCTATACAGTAATTTTTTTTAAATCAGCATTTATGCAAATATATGAAACATTGTCACACATTTTTAATGGAAAGTGCCTACTAAGTCTAATAGATATCTAATAGACATCTAAACATAGTTATCTTGACTAAAACAAGGCTAAAAATAGGCTGTCAGCGAAAATCCAATAGTCATAGCCCAAAAATAGACCAATAGGCAGGAATGAATGGCTACACATGTAAAGTCTGTCTATTCCAGTCTATGACAAGTCTATTGACTAGTCTATTTTTGGACTATTGTTGGACCTCAATTGGATTTTCTCTGACAAACCAAATATAGCAACAACATCTTTATTTGGATGTCTAATAGATGTCTATTAAATACAAAAAAAAAACTTGCTGTGAAATTACCTATGCTGTAGTTTATCAACATTTAAGCAAATATCAGAAGACTTTGCACATTTTAATTGAAATGTGCCTTTTGTCAGCAAGAAAAGAACCATACCCAAGAGCTTAGATGTGAATAAGTTATAATTGGTTTACTCACAATAAATCCAGGGATGCCAACAGGCCCCGGGGCGCCGATTTCCCCCTGTGAGAAACAGAGCAGATACTGAGCATTTCTGGCACAACAGTGGCTATGGAGGGGGTGAAACCTCTGTTCCATGATAGCGGGCTAATCTGTGGCTTGAATCTACTCCTCAGTGAGCCAGAGAAAGAGACACGCTGTAGAGGACAGAGAGGGGCTTGTTGTGTGGCGTGACTGGACGTCTGCTACCTGCCACAGCCACTTCCTCCCTCAACAACAGGCCAAAAAAAAAAAAACATCCCTGGGGTGTTTTTCGCTCTCCTTGTTCTTTGAGACAGAGCAGATGGATGTCTCTTGTCGAGTGACCGCCGATGAAGGATTTAAATGAAGGCGTGCGTGCCCTGGAAGTTAGTGATGGGGTTAGTTTTACAGTACAGCTAGGGTTGAGAGAGTCAGGGGTAGGGCTGCACTATATTGGAAAAATGTGCGATATAACATTTTTCTGTGATATTGCGATTTAAATATAATCCAGATGACTTGATTCGCTCAATTTGAGATGAGATCATTAATTTAGATGGATTGGTAAAATTTTGTAGTGTAATGAATAAAACAGGGCACGGCAGTGACGCAGTAGGGAGTGCTGTCGCCTCACAGCAAGAAGGTCGCTGGGTTGCTGGTTCGAACCTCGGCTCAGTTGCCGTTCCTGTGTGGAGTTTGCATGTTCTCCCTGCCTTCGCGTGGGTTTCCTCCGGGTGCTCCGGTTTCCCCCACAGTCCAAAGACATGCGGTACAGGTGAATTGGGTAGGCTAAATTGTCCTTAGTGTATGAGCGTGTGTGTGTGAATGTGTGTGTGGATGTTTCCCAGAGATGGGTTGCGGCTGGAAGGGCATCCGCTGCGTAAAAACTTGCTGGATAAGTTGGCGGTTCATTCCGCTGTGGCGACCCCGGATTAATAAAGGGACTAAGCCGACAAGAAAATGAATGAATGAATAAATTAAACAAACTGCAAGCATAAATAAATAAGTAATAAAAGTGAAATAAAAGTGCTTTATAGTTTTCTGGAGAGTATAACAGCAGTCAGATATTCAGACACAGTAACTGAATAATTAAATGTAATGTAAAACATAAAACAGGGCTATTCAATTGGCAGCCTGTGGCCCTCCAAATAATACGACCAACACATTAAAAATAAATTTAGTTCAGTCAAAAAATGGCCACTATGGTTATGAAGTGACGTGCGTCTGTTCAATACAGCACAAGCTGCAGTTAAAGGCTGCGCAGAGCATGAGTCACCTGACATTATGTGAATGGCGCAGGCAGCCGAAAACACTTGGATATGTTTGTTCAAAGGGCTTTTGTACAATACACTGATATCGATATTAGGGATGCTATGGTTAGCCGATTTTACTATTAACTGCGCTTTAATTCAGTACGGTTAATTCATCGTAAAGGCTTCTCTACGCCGCATTTCTGTTGCTCAGAACAAAACTGCTGCAACTAAACAAAGTTATGCCATCTGTGTGCTAGTTTAAAGTTCCGAGCTCATACTGAGGCTAATACGCATGCACATTGGATTAACTATAGCAGTAGACTGTTTACATATTGCGTCTTTTCCGCATGCAAGAATATTATATTGTGCGGATATTGTGCACGCACGGCTCGTAGAGCAGATAAAATCCCTTTATTAATCATGGTTCGCCACAGTGGAATGAACCGCCAACTTATCCAGCATATGTTTTACGCAGCAGATGCCCTTGAAGCTACAACCCATGACTGGGAAACACCCATACATTCTCATTCACACACATAAACTACGGACAATTTTGCTTACCCAATTCACCTATAGCACAAGTCATTGGACTAGGGGAAACTGGAGCGTCTGGAGGAAACCCACACCAACAAGGGGAGAACATGCAAACTCCAACATGTAATACTAAATGGCCCTGCTGGGACTCGAATCAGCAACCTTCTTGCTGTGAGAGAACAGTGCTCACCACTGAGCCACCATGCCGCCCAGAGTTTCAAAATCCTAACCATAAATATGAGCAGTAATAACTGTGATGATAGGCTTAAGAAACACCATTAACAAGCTGGTGAAATGTGGTTTTGCACTCGACTTTTCTACCATTTGTATTAATAATATTTGACAATGCACATTTTATATTATACTTACATCCCAGAACAAGAATTCATAACATGCAAATGCCTATTTTTGAATATTATGGTACATGGAAACGTGTATAAGGCAGAAAGGATGAAATATTGGGTAAAGAACATGGTAAAACGATCAAAAGTGAAGCAACCCCTGTAATGGCTAAAACAGATTTGTGCTGCAGACTCCGGTAGTGACAGCTGAATTCCTCATTACCAGCATTATTCAAAGTGGAGCGGCATACATCGGACGCCCGGCTGGCTTGTGTTTGTTATTGCAGTGGCAGAAATCAAAGGTATTTATTAGAGTGTAGTGGTTTGAGTGGCCCGGTCAGCTTGTATAACCGTGTGCGTATATGACAGGCAGGAAAAGGCCAAGCAGAGGCTAGATGGCTTTAGAAAGGCTTTTTGGTGAATTGCAAAACCTTTATATCTATAGTCAAGAGTTACAATCTCATTTCTAGCCCCAAAAATCGTATTGATCTTATTTTAAGAATACAAAACGAGGCAAGAGCAGTTTTATTTTTCTTACTTGGTAAAGCTCAAAGGCAGCTTAATTACAATCAGAGACATACATTAGGACCAGATTTGTACTTTTAAGACTTTATTTTAGCTGCAATAACTTTAAGTTTGCTTATTAAAAATGCTTAGTCTCATTTATACTTGATTTTTAGTGACAAAATAAATTCCTGTTATGTTTTGGTGAAGTAAGTTTCCATATTTAAAAAAGCAACAAGGGTCACACTTTACAATAAGGTTCATTAGTTAATGTTACTTAATGCATTTACTAACATAAACAAACAATGAACAATACATTTACAGCACTACAGTATGTGTTCATGTTAGTTAACATTAGTTATTGAAAATGCAGTCATTCATTGTGAGTTAACTCACGGTGCATTAACTAATGTCAACAAGCATGAGTTTGGATACTATTAATGCATTAGTAAATGTTCAATTATGATTATTAAATGCTGTACATGTGTTGTTCATGATTAGTTCATGTTAGTAAATGCATTAACTAATGAACCTTATTGTAAAGTGTTACCGCAACAAGTAATAGTGTTACATTGTAACTACTGTTAAGTCCAACCCAGGCTCATTCCGAAAACGTAACCCTATATACATTTCTGGAGAGAGCAAAATACGTCCCAGGAGCTACGTTTTTTGCAGTTTTTGTTTTTGCGAATCCACCAGAGGCTGCTGTGTACGCTTCTGCGTACCATTCACGACTGCTGTTCTCGTGTAAATCCATCAGAGGCCGCTGTTGGCTGTCTGACTGACTGATTGACTGACCCACCCACCCTCTTGCATAAACCCAACCGACAGTGTTAAAAAGTAATCTAAAAAAATAAAAGCCCTTGCCTGATTTTACCACATTCTCACCCTGTTATTTACTTGTTTATTTTATTTTTTCGCTTCTTTTTGTCTTACCTGTTCTTCGCCAGACTCAAACCCTGTCATCATGATCAACTCCTCTCTGCCTCTCAACTGGATAAACTGGTAACAGCATGAAAGCCGTTCCATATGGAGATAAGCGGTCAGGGTAAAACTTTACAATAAGGTTCATTAGTTAATGCATTTACTAACACGAACTAATCATGAACAACACTTGTACAGCATTTATTAATCATAATTAAACATTTACTAATGCATTATTAACATCCAAGTCCATGCTTGTTAACATTTGTTAATGCACCATGAGTTAACATTGACAAACAATGAACAATTATATTTTCATTAACTAACGTTTACTAACATGAATAAATACAGTAGTAAATGTAATGTTCGTTGTTTGTTCATGTTAGTAAATTTCTTTCAAATTTTACATTAACTAATGAACCTTATTGTAAAGTGTGACCGCGGTCAGCTGTTAGCGCAAAAAGAAACAGTGTCATACTGCCCCGTATCGTTCGTTCTAAAGACGAAATGCGGCCATACATACTTCTGGCTACATAATTCATTCATAGGGCTAAGTTTTTTTAAAATGAGCCTATATGAGAATGGCGTGGCGCAGATTGAATGTTTTGCGCGTTTGACCCGCTTAACAAATCGCTTGAAAAACTGAACTTCAGCGAACATTTTTGTCGCGTTGACTAATCAAGAGCTTGCTCTTGTAGGGGCGTGATTATGACGTAGCGCATGTTGGTGGTGTCCCGGGGAAAAATTCTCCTGCCTACACTGACAACAGTTCATCAAACTGGGCTCGGCTCAATCAGAAGCACCGCTGAATGCTTCCATCATTCAGGTTAAGTTTCTGGAGGATTTTATGAGCTCACAGAGCTGGGTGCACCTCTGAAAGGATCTAGTGCACTCAGACACGACTCCAAATGAATCAATGCTGTTTTTCAGCCATCATCAAGCACATAAAAACAGTTATTTTTTCAATAACATCCATGTTAGCCATTTAACAACGAAGCTACAGTCACAGGCAGACAAAAACCCTGGCCTTTACGTGAATCCACGTCTGTTCTGAAGCGAATTTGACGCGCGAATGAAGAGAGTAAACTCAAATGTACATGTGTCTATTTACTCGCGAACATCGTAATTTATCTGCGCGTTTATCAGCATTAATCTGAATAAAAAAACGCATATGTGTGTGTGATCCTGATTTAATGTTAATTTAATTCAATGATCTTGTTTTTAATTGAAAGACATTGTCTCATTTTAAGACAGGAGAATATATAATGACAGTTCTTTAATTCAGAGGAATTCTCTTGTTTAGAAACTCTAGTTTTAAGACATTTTCATTAAAAACTGCTTAAGAACCAATTATCAAGCTAGTTTTAAGACAATTAGACTAAAACATTGAATGTTATAATTTAAGTCTTTTTTTAAATTATTTTTTTAAGTCTTTTTTTAAGCGTAGGTATGAAATCCAGGAATAATTATTTTACTGCACTGCCAGATAATTTGACTTGTTTCTAGTCTGTATCTTCTCAAATCATTCATTCAATTCTTGTATTTTGTTATTTTTTGCAGTGTAAACATGTTTTCCTGTGTTTCTGGTGTGTGGCAATATTTCTATACACTAATACTAATATTACATATACAACAGTGACATTCACACTTGTTCTTTAGTGACAAAATCTTGTTTTGTTGTAGTAAGTTTCAGTAAAGAAGCAATGAGTAATAATTTTACACTGTAACTACTGTTAAGACCTAATCAGAATAAAAAAATGCATGTGTGTGTCTGATCCTGGTTTAATTCTAATTTCATTCAATAATCTTGTTTTAAGCTAAAATACACAAGACAGGAGAATATATAATGGCAATTCTTAAATTCAGAGGAATTCTCCTGTTTAGAAACTCTAGTTTTAAGACATTTTCATTAAAATCTGTTTAAGAACCAATTATCAAGCTAGTTTTAAGACAATTAGACTAAAACATTGAATGTTATAATACTTATTTCAATTTTTTTTTAAGCGTAGGTATGTTTTTTTTTTCAAGAAATCCAGGAATAATTATTTCACTGCACCGCTAGATAATTTGACTCATTTCTAGTCTGTATCTTCTCAAATCATTCATTCAATTCTTGTATTTTGTTATTTTATTGCAGTGTAAACATGTTTTCCTGTGTTTCTGGTGTGTAGCAATATTTCTATACACTAATACTAATATTACATATACAACAGTGACATTCACACTTGTTCTTTAGTGACAAAATCTTGTTTTGTTGTAGTAAGTTTCAGTAAAGAAGCAATGAGTAATAATTTTACACTGTAACTACTGTTAAGACCTAATCAGAATAAAAAAATGCATGTGTGTGTCTGATCCTGATTTAATTCTAATTTCATTCAATAATCTTGTTTTAAGCTGAAATACACAAGACAGGAGAATATATAATGACAATTCTTGAATTCAGAGGAATTCTCCTGTTTAGAAACTCTAGTTTTAAGACATTTTCATTAAAAACTGTTTAAGAAGCATTTATCAAGCTAGTTTTAAGATAATTAAACTAAAAACATTAAATGTTATAATACTTATTTAAAGTCTTTTTTCTTAAGCGTAGGTAAATTTTTTCCCCAAGAAATAGAGGAATAATTATTTTACTGCACAGCCAGATAATTTGATTTGTTTCTAGTCAGTATTTTCATACATTTATACATTTTCAGTCACATTCATAATTGTTCTTTAGTAATAAAATCGTGTTATGTTTTGTTGTAGTTTTAGTAGTTAAAGTTTAAATCTTAAGTCAAGAAATCCAACCAGGTATAATTATTTTACTGCACTGCCATATAATTTGACTTGTTTCTAGTCTGTATCTTCTTAAATGCTTTATTTATTTCTCGTATTTCAAAATATTTTGCAGTGTGAGCAGTTTTCCTGGTGTGTGGCAATATTCAGATGAACTAAAAAGTGAACTAAAAGTCTCTGAGTATTAAAAAGCCTGCATTTCCCCAATGATGGCAGTAGGCCAAACGGCGATGTAGAATTACTTACTGGGTTTCCATCAGGTCCTGGTGGTCCTCGCTCCCCAAAATCTCCTGGAAAGCCCTAAGCACACAAATGTGAGAGACAGCAGAGCTTAGCAGAGCAAAACACGGAGAAACCGCACTTAAACTAAGGGCAGATACCATTTTTTTTACATTGCTCTTTCCAGTTGCCCACATAGTAAACACTGTCTCTTCGCTCTAATCCCTGTGCAAAGCTCTGTTACACCAGAACCACTCCATAATCACGGGATATTGAAAAACTGGATTTCAAACAGGAAAGTAGCAATAAGACAGAGTAGTTTTTAACCTTAAACTATTTGTCTTACAAAGCCAAAACACAATGTAGAAGACCCTGTAGTGTAGTTCATTTCACTAAAGTGGTTTAGAGGGATACATTAGAGGCCAAATTTGTAGTATTTAAGTATGTGGAAATCAAGCTAAAATGTATGGTTTTTGTATATTATTGCATTTTTTACAGTTTGGGTGTGTGTGAACGAAAGGCTCCCACTTTATATTAGGTGGCCTTAACTAATATGTACTTGCATTCAAATACTTTAATGTGTTTGGTTAGAGATGGGTCAGGGGCGGACTGGCCATCTGGCAATTCTGGCAAATGCCAGAAGGGCCGGACCAATTTTTAAATGTGAGCCGGTCAGTTTTTTTTATTATTATTTTAATTTTTTTTATTGTTTTTACATGCAGGCAGCTTTTATCTCTTGCTAGATGTGATATTATGATGATGATGATAAATAAAAAACATAAATAATAAAAATAAATAAATAAATAAAAAAGAATAATAATAATAATAATAATAATAATAAGTGTTATTATTAATAAATAATAATAAATGCATTTGGCCCAATCGGCGACGGCTGCCTAATTTCAAGATGGGCTGACCCAATCCAAAGTTACCCGGACGTAATCAAAATCTGGCAAGAATGTCTTATTATTTCACTATCTGTACACCAAAGTAAATAGTGAATGTGCGTGTCCGTGGGTGGGGCTGTGTCGGTGTGGCAATGTGGGCTGATGTGGCTACAGTGCCAGGGCTGAATTTTTGTCCCAGTCCGCCCCTGAGATGGGTTGCGGCTGGAAGGGCATCCGCTGTGTAGAAACGTGCTGGATAAGTTGGCGGTTTATTCCGCTTTGGCGACCCCAGATTAATAAAGGGACTAAGCCGAAAAGAAAATGAATGAATGAATAAACATAAAACAATTAAGTAGTACAAAAAAAAATCCCCTCAAGAATTGTGTTGTTTCAACTCATTTTAATAAGTAGTTTGAACAAACAGCAATCTTTTTTGTTTGAGCGTATGGCTGCTTTTTTGTTGTTGTTGTGAAAACAGAGCCTGGTGCCGAGTCACAGAAACAAGCGCAGTTCTCGTCTCTGTCAGCCCTGCAGGAAATTCCATGGCTGAGTGTTTCCTTACACTGGCAACGACCAGGAGCAGCGAGAAAAGGGATTCGCTGACAGCGCTGTTTCCCTTCCATCTACTGTTAAGTTATATAAGAAGACAAGAGCAATGACGCTGCGCTCCACGGTGTGCTAAAAGTGTGCTTGTCTTAAGGCCAAAGTCAACACTTGTTGCTGTGTGGAGATCTTTATTTGTCCTTCAGCAAGGCAAACAGTAAGTTACGGCTGCCTATCAAAAAGAGTGCTGCCTATCAGAGAACTCAAGAATCAAGAATCGTTTATTAGGAACAGATGAATCTGTGCTTGGCACCGGCGTTTGTGCTCCAGAGATGACTGCGCATAATTGGTAGTTGTTTTGGAAAAAAGATGAGCTTGAATTCTTAATGTCTAGTTCTTTTGAAAAACAAACGGACTCAGAGCGCCAGTGTCATTCTGGTAAATAGGAAATGATTATGGGCGCACAGATGGTAAAGAGTTTTTGCTAATAATTAGTGGTGATTTTGCATTATTTATCCAAGCAAAATGAAAGAATAGCTCTGTCTACAGTCAGATCAGACTGTCTGGGAACATTGACAAATAACAGTTGCATTATTACTTATATAAAGGGCGTAATGCAAAACAGTTCTTTCTGACGGTCTGCATGCCTCTCTCTCTATTCCTCTGTCTATTAATACATTTATCCATTTATACTTCCATTCATCTATCTATCTATCTATCTATCTATCTATCTATCTATCTATCTATCTATCTATCTATCTATCTATCTATCTATCTATCTATCTATCTATCTATCTATCTATCTATCTATCTATCTATCTATCTATCTATCTTTCTGTCTGTCTGTCTGTCTGACTGTTTGTCTGTCTGTCTGTCCGTCTATCTGTCTGTCTATTAATCCATATATCCGTTCGTACTTTAATTCGTACATCTATCCATCTATCCATCCATCCATCCATCCATCCATCCATCCATCCATCCATCCATATTAATGCATATATTTGTTCAGACTTTCATTCGTTCTTCTATCTATCTATCTATCTATCTATCTATCTATCTATCTATCTATCTATCTATCTATCTATCTATCTATCTATCTATCTATCTATCTATCTATCTATCTATCTATCTATCTATCTATCTATCTATCTATCTGACTGTCTGTCTGTCTTTCCGTCCATCCATCCATCCATCCGTCTGTCTGTCTGTCTGTCTGTCTGTCTGTCTGTCTGTCAATCAATCCATCCATCCATCAATCCATCCGTCCGTCCAACCGTCCATCCATCCGTCCGTCCATCTATTAATCCATATATCCTTCATACTTTCATTCATCTATCTGTCTGTCCATCCGTCTGACCCTCAATCAATCAATCCATCCATCCATCCATCCATCCATCCATCCGTTCGTCCGTCCATCCATCCATCCATCCATCCATCCATCCATCCATCCATCCATCCATCCATCCATCCATTCATCCATCTACTAAACTGTACTAGCTTTAATACAACCTAAAAAGAACACAAAACGTTTTGGTAATAGGCTCATTTTACAACTCCATCCATTCAGTCTATGTCCGGGTCTGGCGGTAGCACTTTTAGCTTAGCTTTTATTTGAATCAGATAAGCCCATTAGGATCTCATTCAAACATGTATAAAAAAAGAGTAGGCAGCAATGAGGCAGCAAAAAGAACCCAGATAGGTAACAAAATAACAGTGCTGTGTAGTATAATTGCCCCTACTACAGCCATGATGCAGCAGCAAAGTTCCTTGACTGTTACGCCAGAATGAGAATATAGTTCCTAGACATATCGGCATAGAAAATAGCAACTTTTCATTTTAAATCTGTCCTAGTACACTATGTAACTACAGCAGAGCCAAGCTTTAAATTAAAACAATTTTTTGAGCGAGATGCTAATGGTCTAATCCGATTCAGTGATTTATGCTAAGCTAAGCTAAAAATGCTCCCATCAGAGGTCAGATGAATGGATTTCAAAATGGTAAAACTCAACTCCTTAACTCTAGGGGAGTTGTAAAAAGTGGTGTACAAAAAATCCACCAACAATTTATTTGATTTCATAAACTGTAAGGGTCTACGTTTGGTTGCACTAGAACTGTGGTTTGATTTGTACTTGGGTAAAAGTAAAGTAACTATTAGTAAGTAATTAGTTTAACAATTAGTTAACCAAACCACACTGAACTGAGCTAAACTGAACTCAAACACTAAAACTAAACTACCCTGATCCAGTTACTATGACCATTTATGTGAAGCTGCTTTGACACAATCTACATTGTAAAAGCGCTATACAAATAAAGCTGAATTGAATTAAATTGAATTGAATTGAAAAAAAAAGCTCTTTCCACCACTGGTCACAAATCATTGAACAAAGAGATCAGTCATTCACAGATTTTCTATAGAGAGGATGGTGAGAGAAAACTTTACCGGCCTACCCATCTTGCCCTTCTTCCCAGGAACACCAGGTAAACCCTAAGAGAGCAAAACGAGAAAGACAGGTCAAAATTACAAACAATTAGAGGAATTAATCAACTACCAATCCCCCTGGATGCAACACACTGTGCAAATGCTGAAAGGTCTTTAGTTCCTATTCTTCTGGACACAAAAGGGTCTCTCAAATCCCTATGAACCCTGTCCCTCAGGGTCTGAAAATAGGAGACATTATCCGGCTAATCCGCAGCAGGCCATATTCCAGCTCCCAGGGGCTTATAATACTGTTTCCACAAAGTATCGGCGGGCCGGAATTCACCAGCTCATGGTTCTTAAGCAAATATTGTGAGAACTGAAACTAACTACTGTTTTGAAGGGGGGATCTCTGTGGTTTTAGCGGAGCGTGCCCCTTTCACCATGGTTCCTATTCAAAGCAAGTGCTTTGAATTTACAAGTGACTATAATAAAGGAGAATGATGTATAGCATATGTGTAAGAGTGTGGGCATTGCTCTGTTTATATGTCCTCTAGGGACGGCTAAAAAAAGCAAGACAATGTCTCCATCATGCCACATTGTTTTACTAAAGACTTTGGCTGGACTTTAATGTGTAATTTGTTAAAAACAGTTGTACTTAATATGTTTTTTAGCACAGTATGTGTCAAGAACATGCCAAAATGTATCATTTTTAAAGTTACCATTTTGTAATTTGGCCACTGTATGATCACATCTGACATTAGGGGCTGTTAAAACAGTTAAAACATAGCTTAGTTATGACATAAAGAGACTAATGCCGTTTCCGAAATCACCCCCTATATATATATACACTTAAAGGAGAGAATGAAAACGAGTGAGTGAATTTGAGCTCAGAGTGCACTGAATCTGTTATTTTTCTTTGTGCTTTGCTGGTTGATTCTTATCTTCTTGGTCAGACCCTGTAATAGTTATTTGGGTCGTACTTTACAATAAAGTTTCATTAGTTCATGTATTTACAAACATGAACAATAGGTTTGAATCCACATGAGGATGAGTAAATAGTAGGGATGTAACGGTATTGTAAATACCGTCATACCGCAATATTATTTTTTTTCGATATTACCGTAGTCGCATGACTCGGTAAAACTATAGATCTTCTGAGAAAATTTGCTCAGGCGAATGAAGCGAACGGGAGGTACCGGAAACTACAATTCCCATCAGCCCAGGCTTGGCCATAATCCCTTGCGGTGTGTTGTCGCTACAGATCCAGTAATGCGGAAATGGAGTGTGCTGCTAGAAGCGGGGATCAAAAAGAGCTGGAAAACCCTTAAAGCGGGTGTTGTTGTCGCCGCGCGCGTACTGAATAGTGGTGTTGTCACGCGAGTTCTTATCAGCTGTGTTGTCGCGCGCGCGTACTAAATAGCGGTGTTGTCGCGCGCGTACTAAATAGCGGTGTTGTCGCGCGCGTACTAAATAGCGGTGTTGTCACGCGCGTACTAAATAGCGGTGTTGTCGCGAGTTCTTATCAGCTGTGTTGTCGCGCGCGCGTACTAAATAGCGGTGTTGTCGCGCGCGTACTAAATAGCGGTGTTGTCGCGCGCGTACTAAATAACGGTGTTGTCGCGAGTTCTTATCAGCTGTGTTGTCGCGAGTTCTTATCAGCTGTGTTGTCGCGAGTTCTTATCAGCTGTGTTGTCGCGCGCGTACTGTAAAGCAGGGACGGAGGGTATGTGGCGTCGCGGGGGCACTTTTGATCATTTTGGAAGGGAACTTTCTATCCAAGACTAAAAAGGGCATGTGCACTGCACAGGTTGAGCACTGTGTGTGCATGTGCCTGCAAGTTGGGGAAAACGACTAATAATCAGTTATGGGGACTGCAGAAACACAGCACACTGTTCAGATTGATGCAGACATGAGATCTCTATCTCACTCATGGTTTGTCCTCTCAAGTGGGGGAAAGACAATGCACAACGTTACCCACTGCTGTCAACCTGGGCCAAGTCATATCTCTCTTGTCCCAGAAACCTCAGTCCCAAATGAGAGGGTTTTTTCTGTTGCAGGGGACATTGTAAATACCCAGAGATACCAGCTTTTACCAGATTATATTTATATGATAATTTTCCTTTAAACCCATCTCTATCTAAGTGAGTGAGTGATTAAATGTTGAATGAGATGAGTTTTCAACACTACTAAATTGAAACTTAATTTTTTTACATGGTTTAATATTTTTTTGTTATTAAAATTGAAGTTCCTGTTTCAAAGCTTACAGATAGATGACTAATTTGTATGTCATTGACACTTTTGGCACTTTTTTCACTTATTTTCATAAGTTTTGTTTTTTCCTGTAAATGATTCAATAAATACCGTACCGTGACATTCATACCGAGGTATTACCGTACCGTGAAATTCTGATACCGTTACATCCCTAGTAAATAGCGAACAAATTTTCATTTTTAGGGGAACTATCCCTTTAAGAGCATGTTGTTACAAACAAGCTGGTAGTTACTAATCCTCTAGCATGGACAAAAGCAAGGACTTACAAACAGCTGGTGCAAAACCCAGGTGATGTGGTAAATCTTTTTAATTAGCAATATACACTCACCGGCCACTTTATTAGGTACACCTTTATTAGGTACACCTTACTAGTAACAGACTCCCTTTCGCCTTCAGAACTGCCTTAATCCTTCATGGCATAGGTTCAACAAGGTACTGCAAATATTCATCAGAATATTCCACTGATTGGCTGATTAGAAATTTGCGTTAACAAACAGTTGGACAGGTGTACCTAATAAAGTGGCCGGTGAGTGTATTACCACACTGTAAAACATGCTGAGTTCCACACAATTCCTTCATGTTGCCCCAACACAAATCAATTAAGTTAACTATTTTTTACAAATTTAAGTTGATTCAACATAAAACAATTAAGTTATCCCCCTCAAAAACTCATTTTAAATAAGTAGCAGCAAAACAAGCAACAAAAGTGTGTATTTTTAAGACCACAAACAGCAACACTCACTCTTTCTCCGTCAGCTCCAGGGAGACCGAAGATGCCTGGGATTCCAATGAAGCCCTAAAACAGGGGAGTGTAAGAACACAAGAAGCAAACAGACAGACTTTAGGCTGATTCTGATCCAAACACCACTTGCTGAACTTGCAGACTGACATGAAAAAGGTCGTTTTGAGGACAGCGGTCGCTCGGTGAAGATCTAGGCCTTGAGGCAAGTGTATATGCCCATGGACTGCATGGTGCTGGCTTCCACGATGTAGTCCAAGGGCACATACCCTCACACCAGGGATCACATGGGCATTCGGCAGGATGGCTAAGGCTGGGTCACAGAGTTAATACAGATGAACATACAATGAGATCTTGAAGAGAAAAAGACATGAGTGATGAGTCAATGATGCACTTTATGGAATGATGATAATAAAAAGCAATATGAGAATTCAATGGGGTATATGCACACGGACTTTTAATTTTCAGTCATCCAACCCAATCGCTTCTGGTTGAATGTTGTGCCATTACAAAATCTGATTTCTTTAAAAACCTTTCGTCTCGTTTTATGCTTGAACAACTAAATGAATGCTTAAAGCCTCATTCGCACAACAAGTCACTTGCAGCGGCAAAGTGACAAGTGACCATTCATTTTAATGGAGAGCGAGCGACTTCTGGCGACCTCTGTCTATGTGAGCAACAGCAACTATTAGCGACCAGGTGGGCGTGTCGAGGGATGCGACAAAAGCCCCTTTCGCACATACAGACCTTTCCGGAATATTACCGAAACTATTTTTGGAAAGGTCTGTATGTGTGAACAAGCTCTTTTTGAAAATAGCGTCTATTTTCTAGAAAGAGAAGTTGTAACATTACTGGTAATTTGCCGGAATGCTGTGCTGTGTGAACGCAATAGGAAGAGCACGTTCACATCTAAAACGGGCTGACATGAGACGTCTACTTTAGCCAATCAGAACACTCAGACTCATTAACGTGTGCACGGTTTATAAGAATAAAAGCCTGTGAATGTTTTTCCAAACACATTTAGCTGCTAGATGTTAGTCAGGTATCGGTTCTATGCTCATTATTAATGCCAACTGTGCAAATAAAAAAAACGATAAAATGCTAAAATGCAGAATTAATAGGTATTTTGGAATGGATGTGTGAATGGTCTTTTCTAAAAAAAATTTGTAATGTCCTCGGGATGTTGTGGAGAATCCATTAACTTTATGCAAATGAACAGCGACTTTGAGTGACAACCAATAGAAGCACCAGTAGAGCTCACGTGATCCTCTCTCAGCTCTCTCAGAGGTCAGTTGTATTAATGCTGTATATGCCTACACAGACCTAAGTTTGAGCGACAGACAGCTACAAAGTCACTGCTAGTCTGAATGAGGCAAAAGGCTATTTAACTGATTGCATATTAATTATATTACATCATCTATGCTGTAAAAGGAACATTGTGAAATTAAAAAAAGTCACATTAACATTTCATCAGAAGTTTATCATTGGCTGAAAAACACTAGCTGTGCATATAGCCCATTTATGTATTGAATAAAAAACATTGCAAAAACATTAAAAACAGTTCCACTTACAGTAAAACCACTAATAAATTAAATATTTCTGACACTAAGGCCAGAAAGAATATCATGAGGAAAAAGACTTCGGATGTATACTTCTGCCATCTACTTTTACAAGACCAAACTGGTTTTTAAATTTTAGTGGAATAATAATGTAAAAACCAGCTGACTCTGGAATACATTACTTGATGTTTTATAATGAAAACAACGCCAAATAACTGATCCCTAAATGTCTACAGTCATTTCCTTTTCTGGTGCCGTTCAGAGTTTCCAAACTGGAAAACAATGCTTTGGTACCAAAAATGTAGCAGCCTGGCAAAATTTCATAAACATAAATCCTCAATCGCTTTAAAGTTGATTTATATGTGCTGTACGAGCAAAACATGGAATGCAAAACATCTTATCCTAACTGTATTGAGCCAATATAAGAAGATTAAATTATAATCAGACTAAATTATACATTAATAAAACATATCACTTAGCATCACTTGAAGACAACACAGTTTATGTACTGTACACAGGCTTTTAGAAAGTTTGTGTGTGTTATTTGTCTCTTACCCGTACGCCTTTTGGTCCCATATTTCCTATAGGCCCAGGTAAGCCCTACAAAAACACAGAAAATGCTAAATTCAACCCTGCAGACTGAACCAATGATAACACCAACAAAGGCTCATTCTGAAAACGTAGCCCTATGTACGTTTCTGGACATCTCAAATTATGTAGCCAAAAGTACGTATGGCAGCATTTTGTCATTAAAACGAACGCTACAGGGTGGTTTGACGCTGTTCTTTTACGCGCTTACCAGCTGACCGCTTACCTCCATGTGGATGGCTTTCCGGTTTGTCCAACTCGCCATGTATGTTGGCAGACTTGAGACACAAAAAGGAGTTGACCACAACGACGGGGTTCGAGTCCGGTAAAGAACGGTTCCAGAAAGCCAGTAAGACGAAAACAAAAGCCAAAAAACGAAATAGACAAGTAAATAACAGCTTGAGGATGTGGTAAAATACGAAAACATGGTAAAAAATAAGGCACAGGCTTTTCTTTTTCTGAATTGCTTTTTAAAACTGTTGGTTGGGTTTAGGGAGGTGAGTAGGCGGGACAATCTGTGTTATTGAAAACACTATTGCAGGCATCCCAAGTCTTCTCGGAAGTTGCGTGAATATCCGCAAATGCATAGAGACTCCAGGATGCCCGCAAATAATTGATAGTCTCCTGGAAATCACACATCTCCCGCCCGGTCCTTAAATACTTCACACATCTCTCTCCACCGCGTCTCTCCCAGCTCTTCGGGTATGTCCTACGCAACTCACCACCCCCGCTCCTTAGGTACGTCTCACGCTCACACGCCCCTATTCAGACACGTCGCTCACTCACCTACCCCCCCACCCCCTCTTTTAAGGCACCAACTCTCCCGCAACCTCCCGCTATTCAACTCTGTCTCCCACGGAAATGACTTTTCTCAACTTGGGATGTCTGCTATTGGTTGGGTCAGTCGATCAGTTGGTAAATCAGTGAGTCTGTCGACAGCGGCCTCTGGTGGATTTACACAAGAACAGCAGGTGTTAATGGCACTCGCATGGGAAATTTGAGATCTGAAAAGCGTACACAGCGGCCTCTGATGGATGCATTAAAACAAAAACTGCAAAAAAACGTAGCTCCTTGGATGTATTTGTCGCTCTACAGAAATGTATATAAAGGTACATTTTCAGAATGAGCCTGGGTTGGATAATACATTGTGATCACTTTATTTAAATCAGAACATTAGAAATTAACATGGTAATTGAAGGGAACTAAATGTTCAAAAACCTTAAACTTAAAACTAACTCATGCAATTATGCAAATTTGCTTAAGGAATAGAAAACAAGAAGATACGATGCATAACACCATTAATAAAACTGACAGATTGATAATTGAGGAACAGATTGGAGTTGGTGCCGAACAGGTGGCCAGTAGAAAGTAATTTAAATTAATTAGGTGTTATCCTGAGGACATATTTGAACTGTAAAACAAAACTTCTCACAATTTCAACCACAGATGTGCCAAAACTTCGGCATAATCTGAACTGGGATGTGCTAGTTTTGAGCACTCTAACTTGGCCACGAATAAGGGAAACATTAAATAAAGCAATGCCAGGTGAATCTCTGTAAGTCTGTAAATAACACACCCAAGAATGTTTAAGTAAAACTAAATTAGGGAAGGATTTTCTAGAGCATGATTAATGTAGAAGTTGAAGTTGCACTGTGGGGGGAAATAAGTATTGAACACGTCACCATTTTTCTCAGAAATCATTTCTAAAGGTACTGTTGACTTGACGGATGTTGGTAAAGACCCAAGAAATCCATATATGCAAAGAAAACAAAACTAATTCGTTTACAAATGAAGTTATGTAGGAAATGGCAGAGGGGAAAAGTATTGAATACATGAAGAAAGTAAGGTGTAGAAAGACAGTGAAAGCCCAGACAGCAGCCAAAATCTCTCAGTAATTCTTCATCAACCATCTGCCCTTTAGCTGCTTCAGTCCAACATCTACAGTACATTATCAGGATGATAAAGATGAAGCAAGGGTGGACATTTTACCAAGACAATGATCCAAAACACAGCCAATGAAACTCACAAATGCTTTAGAGAAAGAAATCAAGCTTGTGGAATGGCCGAGCCAATCACCTCACTTGAATTCAATTGATTAAAACTGAAGGCTACACAGTAAGACCAAATAAGTTAGGGTAATCCGTTTGAGGAAACCGAATGTAACAAACAGGGCTTAACATTAACTTTTTTGACCACCAGCCACTGTGGCTAGTAGTTTTCCAACATTACTAGCCACTCACCATTTTCACTAGCCACAACTTTATTGTTGGGAAAATATATTTTATACACATAAATATGACTTTGACATTCTAAATTACTTGATTTAGAGTTTGCGTTATCTCTAAATGACTCCTCATTCATTTCACTTTTTGTGTGTCGTGTATGAGCTTGCTCAATAATCATGAGCAAATGGGTCATAAATAAACAGTTAGTTATTTCTTAGCCACAAATTTTAAATGCGTAAAAACATGCAAAATATAGCTGAATACTATACTTTTTATTTAACAAAACATATGCACAGTCATATGTCCTGGCTAAAGGTCCCAGATCACCAGTTAACTACACATAAATGGGGAGTTATTCTCCCATTAAAGCAATGTTATTGTAAAAAATATATAATTAAACCATATTAATGCAAAAAAAAAGCAGGTAAAAACATACTGTGTAATAATAAAAGGATGATCACACACGCATGGTTAATGATAATTAACGTAACGTAAAGAAAACATAAATTATCTTTTCAAAGAATGGCTAAACCGAAAGCTTGCACAAAACTGGCACTGCTTACAATAAGTCAACTCTGGAACTCTTGAAAGCAGCAAGACAAGACTGTTCCTCCCTTTTTGTTCAGTCTATTTGAAAGAGAATCGATCTCATCAGTTGTGTTTCTAGACTCAGTTGCTTCACAAAAGGAAACGGGAGCGCACACACGTTATAAACACGCGTTGTGCGCATCACCTTACCAGCTTTGCTCGCACGAAGTTGCGAACGCAATTATTTTTGTCAGTCGTGTTGCTTCTCGATCGCCTGTGTAGGCATATTGGACCATCCTTATTGTCGAAACCTGCTTTTAAGAATTATTATCTGGGAAAATTATTTTCAACCAGCCAAAGTGGCTAGTGGGAGTGTCTGTCTTACCGCCACCGCCAAAATCTACCTGCATTTGGCAGGTTGGCGGGTGTTAATGTAAAGCCCTGGTAACAAACCATTTAAGTTAAAAAACTAATCCTAAAGAGTACTGTGAACCTAATCCATTTGAGTAAATGAAGCAATTTGAGCACAGTAAAACCCAATAAATGAAGAGAACTCAAACTAACTGAGTACTGTAAAACCTAACAAGTTAAGGCAACTGAAACCATTTGAGGAAACCGATTGCTACAAACCATTTCAGTAAACTAATCTATATGAGTACTGTAAACTTACTCCATTTAAGTTGTTCATTTAAGTAATGAGGTATTTAATTACCTCATTACCTTCAACACTGAGTTCAAAACTCTTTTAAAATGAGTAGAATTAACTTTCAGTCAATTTTGAGTTAACTACACTCATTTCATTTGATAAAGTTAACTGTTGGGTTTTACAGTGTACCAAAAATGTTTAGTTGGCAAGTTTTATCTGCTTCCCTAAACATGGGAATCTGGTAGTTCACAATGAAAACCTGAGGTTGATCACATTTACACCCAGCGGGAGAGCATCTATCAAAAGTGGGAGAATTATGTTTAGCAAATGACCTTTCCAAAAATTAGACATCATTCATGCATTTGGCACCCAAAAAAAGTGATGAATTTAGTGTTAGAACATAAACTCAAAATCTAAAATCCATTTTCATTGCTTTATGATTCCAAAAACAATTCTCATTTTTCAAAAGTGATGTCAAAACAAGTGGTCATGCTGGCAGAGCAAGCTCTTTTGGTCTCCAATACAAGCCCTGACACTGTGAGCCTCATATAAAACTCGTATCTGTGAGCACAGCGGCACAACGGAAGATTTACTGCACCTGCCTGCCAGGATAACCTTTGGCACCTGGACTTCCATCCGGTCCTCTTTCTCCCTGCGGAGAGACAAAATGAAAAGAATAAAGGAGGAAAAAATCCATTACAATAAATATGCCATTAGCATTGGAAGCTCTCCTTGTAGAGAGCCATAACAAACACCAAGAAAGATTAAAAGCACAATAGAGAGAGAGGAGTGAAAGGCCTTTCTATTAAAACAACATGTTATTCTTCTGTGCGTCTGTAAATAGTTTAAGTCTTTTTTCATGTGTTGCCATTTTAGTCGATGTGACAAATGCAGAGAGTGTGTGGCCCACCACTGAACTGAAGTTATGAGGCAACAATAAAAGCCTTATACGATGTTATTATACTGCTATACCTCAAGATCACTCTAAATTCCAGAAATTCAATTGCAGAGATTTAGGGAAAAGTCAAGGTCAAGTGTCAGTTAGAGTCATGCCGCCAAAACCCAAAGGTCGAATGTTTATTTTTCTGATAGTTCCTTTGCAGATGCTTTAGATAAATCTCAGCTGAGCAGCAAAGCAAAGATCTAAGTACATTTTCAAAGTAATACAAGTCAGGTTTGTCACCTCGCTTCAGCCTACTTTTTTTTTTAAAATACATTGCTCCGGGTACATTTCACATGGCACGTTTCACATCACAAATCCACTAGAGGGCACTGTTTACAGTTTTGTGAATATATTCCTTGGGATACAATTTGTTGTACATTTCAGATATATGTTGTCCACGAGAAGGCAGGGCTTGTTGTACAGACCACCTAGTGTCCTATTTCCTTAAACTTTTCGCTATTCCCAACCAATTGTGTTTTCAAGAGCAAATGTAAGAGAAAAAAATGCTCTGCGACCTAATAATTTATCTGGATTTTACATTTTTTATCTCTTTTGTGAAACCGTGCTTCGCCAGACTCAAACCAAAACACTCTTCACCACAAGTACAACATTATACAAAATGAGCTACGAACAAACTGACCATGCTAATAAAGTTGACCATCTGGAAATAGGTGAGGCAAACGTATTCAATTACAAATCATAGATTAGATCATGTTTCTTGCAATAATTTGTTGTTGTGCACAAAAATCCATCTGTCAATAACGTTCCTATAAATATCATTATTGTTAAAAGGAACAAAAAATGTTGGTGTCATATTGCCTCATAGCGTTCATTTAACCTATAAACTGCAGTAAAACATATATTTGAAAGTTTTTGCAGTTTCATGAAAAATGTAGGCTAAAGCAGTGGTTCCTAAAGTAGAGTTTGGGACCCACTGCAGGGTTCAACGATATGGATTTTTTTTACTGGTCCGATCGGGCAGGTGGTTCAAATTTTTACTTGCCCTGCCAAAATTTTCCCTGGCCCCACCAAGAAAAAAAAGGGAAGTTAATAGCGATTTTTTAGCCACATATTTTAAATAATGTGTCAAAAATAAAGTCTGTGAATGTAGAATTTCAATACTTAAAAAAAAATGTAAATAAAAGTGTTATGCAAAAAAAAAAAAAAAGAGCCGTATGGAAAAAAAAATAGCCGTATGGAAAATGTGGAGGTATTTTATTGCGGCTTGAAATTATTTAACAAAAGGTGGCTGACTTGTCAAACTGACAGCAAACTGTGCAATACGTCACTTTATTTTTATTTTGTCGTGCTGTTCCCAGGTAAATGTCTACTTTCAAGACATTAGAAACAGACATTTTCTTTAATCCTTATAATTTGATGTTGCCGCCATGTTGCCGTTTCTTCGTTGTACTGGTTGTTACCAGGTTACAGAAAAAAATAGCATGGTCAATTAGATAAGAGGAACCAGAAAGCAATATGGTGTTCACGACATCACAGAGAAGGTAGTGTTTAAAGATTAAAAGCACAAACTTAAATCAAACGCAACTGACAAATAGTCACAGACAAATTAAACTTTAGTGACAAGGCAGCACTGTCCCAATCGGGCCAGTAATGATCCGGTCTACTGTCCCAAGAGTCTCTAACGCTAGCCCTGGGCCACCGTGCAGTGTTGAGCCCTGCACTGGTGATCGCTTGTCGCTTGGTGATTTCCAAAAATTTTATAAATTAGAACTATTATATTTTAACCATAACAAAGAAAGGGTAAAATAGTCATTAAAAGTTTACATAAAAACAACAATGAGCAGATAAAAAGACATCTGCCTTTTTTTGTTCAATTGTGATCCCTTGGGCGATTACATTTCATTAACGACACAGAAAATAGTGTCTGTTGCAGCAGATCAATTTTACGGCATGATGTTAAACTTTCTGATACCTTTATTGGCACTCACGTATTAAAAAAAAATACAGGTCATTATTGAACCAAACATTGTGGCCACCCATTTTATTACACTGGCTGCCAATTAAGTTCTGTATTGATTATAAAAATTTTGCTTCTTACATATGAGGCTTTAAATAGTCTAGCTCCTGTTTATCTTACCAACCTTCTGTCTCACTACAATCTTACCCACTCTTTAAGGTTTCAAATCTCAGGGCTTTTGGTAGTACCTAGAATAGCAAAGTCCACTAAAGGAGGTTGAGCATTTTCATATATGGTTCCTTCCTGATAATATCAGAGGCTTAGACACACTTTCTAGATCTTTTTAGTAAAGCATATACACAACGAATCACATAACAGCAGGATACAGTTAAATTCAACTCTTTAAATGCATTCTTTCACATTACACAAATATCTTGTGCATCTGAGATCTCCGAGGACAACAAACGCTTAATAAACAAATACACTACACTGAACATGTATTATGTATTACTATAACATGTAAATATTACATATATACTGTATAAGTAACTACACTTATACACTATCAACCCTTTACATAACTCTTTAACTTTTCTGATACTGACTGCAATGTGATTAGGTGCAGCTTTTGTGAAGCAGCTTTTGAATAATGATTACTGTAAAAAGAGCTATACATGTAAACTAAAACTTGAATTAGTTGAATTTAATGTTGATTAAACAAAGGAATACAATACTATTAAATAATATATGGTTGTTAGACTGTTGCATTTTTTGTATCACCAATATGTTTGTGTTTATGTAGGCTTATTGGTGTGTGTGCACCGTTGGTATATTTATATCAATCTCCAAGGATAATGTGGGCTCGCGTGTCACTGGCATTGTTATTTTCGGGTTCATGAGCTGAAATGTTTGGGTAACTCTATTATTTACAATGAGCCCGTCTTGGCATTATGTGCTTGTTGAACACAATATCATGGAAAATAACTAGTGTGTCATTTCAAATGTCTTCCGCTGTCTGTAAGGTGGTGTATGGCAATGTTGCCCTTCGATTGTGGGATGGGGTATTTGTACGCACTTGATAAATAAAAACAGTGCGGCATTACACTTTATCATCTCCCAAAGCAGATAAATAAATGTCTCCTTTTTAAAACAACGGAAATGAGCAGACGGATTTGCTTGAATGCACATCTTGAAACAGCAGGAAACCCAATATCCATGCTGTGTGGACATGTCAGATCAAATACGATCCGAAGCTTGTGAAATATAAATATACGCATAAACCCAATCCCTTTATTTAGCATTGATGTAAACACTGTTTGGATAATTCAATCAGCATTGAACTTATTCAGACTGAAACTATGAGTGACCATGTAATCGTAGATAATGTGCAAACAAATCTGGTAAAAGACCATGAATAAAATATGGAAATAATGAAGATGTATTTAAAAAAAATATACAGTGCTCAATATACATCCCTAACAAATCTATTTTTTAAATGAATCTTTTTAATAGGAAGCTATACAATATTATCTTTGTGCATATCTTTAGATCAGTACTGAAGTCAAATCTGGAACTTACGATAACGGTCAAGAGAAGCAAAAATGTGAAAAATTTAGTTGAAATTTTGTAGGTTGTAAATTTTTTTTGTAATATTTTGCTTGAATTTAATTCTATTATCTTTTAATTTCTAAACATGTTTGGTGACTAAAATATTATTTTAATAAATATATCTGTTTAATAAATCTGTTTTGTTCAAATGCACCAAATACGTTGCCTATATTCACTGAGAAATTCATTTTCAAAATGGGGTGTACTCAATTATGCTGAGCGCTGTATATGTTTATTCTAGAACATTTGAATCTGACACCAAATTTGCGTAGGTAAAGTTGCTTTTTCTACTTACTCAACCTGGTTATATTCTTCTTTCTATGTTTACAGATTTGTCCCACAAAATGGTGGTAAATTACACTCCAAAATAAAAAATTCCTCACCATTTGTTTACTAACACTCATGAGGTTCAAAACTTTTATAAATTTCTCTCATCTGTTAAACACAAAACAAGATATTCTGAAGAATGTTGGGGAAAAAAAACACTGACAATTATAGTAGGAACAAAAACACTATGGTAGGCTGCTGCTTTCCAACATACTTCTTAATATTTAGTTTTGTTTTCACACGTTTGGAACATGTGGAGGATGAGTAAATCATGGCATAAATGGGGAGGTGGGGGGATGCTGATGGGTAAAACTGTCCTTTTAACCGTCAATGCAAATGTTACTGCACTTTTAATATGGTCCCAGTAATGTTTTAAATCCATTTTTATTATTATTTTTATTATTATTATTATTCTTATTATTATTATTATACTTATTATTATTAAGGATTTTCAGATAGCAAACACTAAAACAGACAATCAGCTAAACAAACAAACCCAAAGCACTTCCAATTAAATTATAGAAGCCAGTGCTTTCTTAAAATAAAAATGTCAAAGTTTATGTGGGAAGAATTGGAGAGGTTCCCAAAGTCTCCTGAATTTGTTCTGTTTGTGGTTGAGGTCATAAGTTAATTTCTCCAAATAAAGAAAGACTGAGAAATCCACATGAAAATAGCTGGAAGCTTTGGGAAGTACACTACCTGCCAAAATTCTTGTCACCTATTCAAGTTTTAGAAACAACAAATAATAACTTGACTTCTAGTTGATCATTTGGTATCAGGAGTGACTTATTTGAAAAGCAAAGGCCTCTAGATTACTCTTATTTGACCAAAACAAAATATGATCATGCTTTGATTTTTAATTATTTCATTAGGACAGTAAGGTCTGACTTTGCTAGACAAAAGTCTTGTCACTTAACAGAAACAATGCACAGTACAGAATATAAAGTCATGCTGCAGTAGAAAAATAATGAATATTGTGTATGACTCCCATGAGCTTGGAGGACTGCATTTATACATATCTTCTCAAATCACTTATTAATAAAGTCATCTGGAATGGCAAAGAAAGCGTTCCTGCAGGACTCCCAGAGTTCATCTAGATTCTTTGGATTTATCTTCAATGTCTCCTCCATCTAACCCCAGACATGCTCAATAATATTCATTATCTGGTGACTGGGCTGGCCAATCCTGGAGCACCTTGACCTTCTTTGCTTTCAGGAACTTTAATGTGGAGGCTGAAGGATGAGAAGGAGCGCTGTCCTGCTGAAGAATTTGTATTTATACAAAATGTAACCCTAAACCATGATTTTTCCTTCAGCAAACTTGACTGATTTCTGTGAGAATCTTGGGTTCCAGTAGGTCTTCTGCATTATTTGTGATGATTGGGATGCAGTTCAACAGATGATCCATCAGAAAAATCTACCTTCTGCCACTTTTCCAAATGATCAACTAGTTATTATTTTTTGCTCTTACAACTGGGATTGATGACAAAACTTGTGTCAGGTAGCATAGACCATTTTAGAAATATAAATTTCTTAGTCAGAAATGTCCTCTAAATGCATTTTAAAAATTAAATAATTGTTATTGACTCCTCTAAAACATGGATAGAAACTCACTTGGTCTCCAGGGTGGCCAGAGGGACCAGGATGGCCTTTCTGTCCCTAAACAGAAAAGAAAAGAGACAATGAGTGTGGCAAAAGCATATAAACGCTTTCATTTACAGTAAAGAGATGGTCATTTACAGTGGGGAGTCACTTCTCAAACTTGTGCTTAATCATATCCCGGGAGTTTCCACATAAAGAGCCAACAGAAAATCGACCGTGATCTCTAAACTTGTGTCATTTTTCAGAAAAACTTAATAATTTACCGCAAACAGCTATTAAATGATCACAGGCTGACAGTACACTCTCATTACACAAGTAACGTCATTCTCAGTTGTAGTTTTTTTCTGACATGATGAAATGAAAATTTGTCTTTGCATTCAATGTTTGCCAATGAACTCGATCATAGCGGGAACAAAGTAAAAGCAGCTTGTGCAATCCTAGTGGTTTACACATGTTCCCAGGATGGAAAAGTAATAAATGTGGAGAAACGTAACGGGTCCCAAAGTGCACATCAACAGATTCCACTAAAACTAGCAAACCACTTCCGAACTAATACCAACTCATTAACGGGCTGAGCAGACGCTTTAACTGTCTGGGGACAGGCCAATTAGCGCTCTTATCAGCCCATAAATGAGGGAGAGACGACATTTTATCCCTATGTGGTAGCAATTCCTCTTCAGGTATTCGGCTTTTATGAGACAAAAGTTTACCACATAATGCAACTAAGTATACTGTAATTTCTTCATTACAAATTTCCCGTGAACAGAACATGTTGTACTGTGATAGTCGCTAGGGATGTCATTTATTTATTTATTTTTTGCATGTGCAGGTTTAAATTTTAGAGATTAAACATACCCTCAAAATTTGACTTTTGCTGCTTGTTCAAACTATTTATTTAAAATGAGTTGAAACAACACAATTCTTGAGGTTTTTCGAACAACTGAATCGACTTAAATTTGTAAAAACAATTAAGTTCACTTAATTTGTGTTGTAACAACATGAAGGACTTGTGCGGTACCCAGCATTTTTAGATTATAGTCAAATAATAATAATAATAATAATAATAATAATAATATTATTATTATCTTAATAATATTAATATAATCATGTTCCATGATAATACTTTGTACATTTCCTACTGTAAATATATGAAAACTCAATTTTTGTAAGTAATATGCATGGCTAAAACCTTAATTTTCCCATAATTTAGATTTTTTTGAACCCTCAGAGGGCGGCACGGTGGCTCAGTGGTCAGCACTGTCGCCTCACAGCAAGAAGGTATCTGGTTTGAGTGCTGGATGGGCCAGTTGGCATTTGCATGTTCTCCCTGTGTTTGCGTGAGTTTCCTCCGGGTGCTCCGTTTTCCCCCACAGCCCAAAGACATGCGGTAAAGGTGAATTTGGTAAACAAAAATGATCGTAGTGTATAAGTGTGTGTGTTAATGTTAGAGTGTATGGGTGTTTTCCAGTACTGGGTTGCAGCTGCAAATGCATCCACTACATAAAACATATGCTGGAATAGTTGGCGGTGGTGACCTCTGATGAGAAATGGACTAAGCCGAAGGAAAATGAATGAATGAATTATTTAATTATTGAATGAAGCCTCAGATTCCAGATTTTCAAATTTGTTTCTTAGAAAATAGGGCAATTTGTTTTCCAAACATCATAATAATATTATTCCATGATGATATTTTATCAGTTTCGAAATTATTGTATTTCTGTATGCTATATATGCCTTGCTAAAAACTTAATGTGCTCAATATTTATTTAGATTCCAGATTTTCAAAATGTCTCTCAGACAAATTTTGTCCTAACAAACTATGCTTATTTATTCATTATATTTTTGCCAAAAAAATGCATTGCATGAGTCAAAAAATATATATAATAATATTAAGTAAAGATCATGTTCCATGATGATACTCTTTTAATTTTTAATTTTAATTACTGTAGATAAAAGAAAACTGCATTTTTTAAAAATAATCTGCCTGGCTCAAAACTTAATTTGCCACATATTTAGATTTTTGAACCCTCAAATTCCAGATTTTCAAACAGTTGTTTCTCAAATATTGTCCAAACAAACTATGCATCAACAGAAAGCTTATTTATTCAGCTTTCATGGCAGGTATAAATATAAATTTGCAAAAATAGATTATAAGAGTCAAAAAGGCAGCTGCTATTCCAAAAGTCATAATAATACTAAGTAAAGATCGTGTTCCTTGAAGATACTTTGTAAATACCCTACTGTTATTATAAGAAAACTGCATTTTTTATGCTATATGCCTTGCTAAAAACTTAATTTGCCCAATATTTCGAGCTTTTTGAACCCTCAGATTCCAGATTTTCAAATAATTGTTTCTCAGACAAATATTGCATAAAGTAGGATCAACAGAAAGCTTATTTTTTCAGCTTTGATGCCAAGTATAAATCTCAATTTCACCAAAAATACATCGTTTGAGTCAAAAAGACAAAGTTTATGCCAAAAATCCAAATAATATCATAAGGATCGTGTTCAATTAAGATACTTTGTAAGTTTCCTACTGTAAATTTATGGACACTGTATTTTTTTTTTAAATAATATGCATGGCTAAAAACCTAACTTGCACAGTATTTAGAATTTTTGGAACCCTAAGATTTCAGATAAAAAAAAAACTGTTTCTCAGACAAATATTGTGCTTACAAAAATGCATAAACAGAAAGCTTATTTATCCAGCTTTCATGTCAGGTACAAATCTTAATTATGCCAAAAAATACATTGTATTCAAATACATTGTAAGTCAAAAATTATATTTTATGCCAGAAATCATGATAATATCAAATAAAGATTGTGTGGCATGAAAATACTTTGTAAATTTCCTTTACAGTAAATATATGAACACTGTATCTTTGCAAGTAATATGTATTGCTAAACTTAATTTGCCCCAATATTTCGATTTGTTTTCAGAGTTGGGTAAAAAAGTAATATATTACAATTTTAAGCCTATCTTCCTCTTAAATAAAATGATAAAATGACATAGCACATACTTTCACATGTACTTTCCTCCAAAAGTAACAAATTTAGTTTTTTTTAAATGTAGTTAAATTAAAATTTTTATTTTATTATTCTGTTAAAGTCACTTAAGGTTGTAATATATTCTTTTTTTCCTGCAACACTGCTGGTTTTATCCAGGGTGATATATATAATACCAATGCAAAAAAAATAAATAAATAAATAAAATAAAAACAATAAACAATTCCCAAAACAACAGCCAGCATTAGTTTCTTTTAATGACACAAATCTAAGGTCAAAATTGGGTCACACTTTATTTTAATGTACAATTCACGCTATTAACAAACCATTAACTTAGTTTTTTTTTTTTTTTTTTAGCTCAATAAACAACTAATTATCTGTTTATTAGTTGTTAGTAAGGGTTTAGGTATTGGGTAGGAATAAGGATGTAGAATAAGACCATACCTTAAGTGCTAATAAACAGTTCATATCTCAATAATAGGCAGGTAATAATCCAATAATAAATGCTGTGAATTGTTACTTACTTAAGTGTTACCCAAAATAGCATAATCTGACACAGTGACTTTCATAATAACTATTGTGTAGTCTGAATAAAAAGGAAAAACTCTTCAAAATATACAATGTTTTACATTTCTAATTTCTATATTATATGCTGAGATATTGCTTCAGGAACCTCTGCTTCTTTTCAAATTTATAGGGACTGTAAATGTAATGAAGACATCATTGACACCTTCACAGTCAGTGAAAAGTCATGCGGTGTTATGTGTCTTGGCCTAGCAATTGGCAGTAACCTTTGGGATCTCAGAGAGGAAACTTTTACTGACTACAATTCAAGATGAGGAAAGGAAATTTAATGGCAAGGGTTTGCTCTCGCTGAAATAAAAGGTACATTGTCCATAGTGAGTAATACTCGCACGTATATATTATAAAAATACAGTTTTTGAAGAAATGTAATTTCTATTTAATGCAGTTAATTAACACTAAAAATAAGTGTTGTTTATTCCCTAGACAAAAACAACCTGAAAAATAAATTGTATTACGGTTTCCAAAAAGATATTAAATCCTATCATGATCTCTTTTTAATTTTTTTTTTCCCAGGGTGTAACTCAGGCCTCAATTAGATTAGATAAATTATATAATTTATGGATTTTCCATATTAGATAAAAGTGTCAGATGTCCCCAAAATGCATCTGTAAAGTTTAAGCTCAAATACCAAGGATCGATTATTAGTCCATGCTCTTTTTTTGGGGTGGAAGCAAAAACCTGTTCTTTTTGTGTATCTCTTTAAATGCAGATGAGCTGCTGCTTGTTTCTAATAAGAGGGCGGAGATTTTACAGCTTGTTCTTTAAATACTCCTTGGATGGTCTATTATTTTTGTTAGAAATTTAAAGTGCAGATCTGTGCACTCTTTAACAGCTAATGTCAACCCAGGCTCATTATAGATACGTACCCCTGTATACATTTCTGGAAAGTGTGAAATTTGTCCCAGGAGCTACGTTTTTTGTAGTTTTTGTTTTCAGAGGTCACAGCGTACGCTTTTTGAATACACAAATTTCTCTCGCGAGTGCCATTCGCGCCTGCTGTTCTCGCATAAACCACCAAAGGCCGCTGTCGACTAACTGACCAACCGATAGATACCCCCACACACCTCCTTCCCTAACCGCAACTGCAATTCAGAAAAAGAAAGGCCCTCACGTCTGCCTGATTTTTACCACATTTTCAGATCTTACCACATTCTCACCCTGTAATTTACTTGTATATTTTCTTTTTTGCCTTTTGTATACGTTTTACCTGCTTTCTGGAACTGTTCTTCGCTGGACTTGAACACTGTCAACTCCTCTCTGCATCTCAAGGTAACTGACGTACATGGCGAGCTACTGGGCAAACTGTTAACAGCGGAAAAGCTGTCCACACGGAGGTAATCGGTCAGTCGGTAGCATAAAAAGAAACAGAAGCCATTGGTAGCATCATACCGCCCCGTAGCGTTCGTTTTAAAGACAAAATGCAGCCATATACGTAGCTCTGGCTATATAATTTTCTCTCTCCAGAA